AATTTAAACTATATCAAATGGATGTTAAAAGTGCATTTTTGAATGGTTTTATTAAAGAAGAAGTTTATGTGGAGCAACCCCCTGGTTTTGAGGATTTTAGTTTTCCTAATCATGTTTTTAAATTAAAGAAAGTTTTATATGGGTTGAAACAAGCTCCTAGATCTTGGTATGAAAGGTTAAGTAGTTTCCTAACTTCAAATGATTTTTCTAGAGGAAAAATTGATTCTACACTGTTTATAAAGAAAGTTAAAGAACATATCTTATTGGTCCAGGTATATGTTGATGATATTATTTTTGGATCAACTGATAATTCGTTATGTGTAGAATTTGCTAAGATAATGCAGGGAGAGTTTGAAATGTCCATGATGGGAGAATTGACATTCTTCCTTGGACTACAAATCAAGCAACTTAAAGATGGCATTTTCATCTCTCAAACCAAATACTGCAAAGAGATCCTTAAAAAGTTTGGAATGGACACCTCTAAGGAAGCTAACACACCCATGGGAACTTCATGCTATCTAGACAAGGATGAATCAGGTTTGAAAGTTAATCAATCTATGTATAGAGGTATGATAGGTTCATTGTTATACTTAACTGCAAATAGACCTAATATTATGCATTCTGTCTGTGTGTGTGCTAGATTTCAGGCTTGTCCTAAAGAATCTCATCTAATTGCAGTGAAACATATTTTAAAATACTTAAAAGGAACCACTGGTTTTGGTTTATGGTATCCTTCTGATGATTGTACTAGTTTAATAGGATATTCTGATGTTGATTATGGTGGATGTAAAATTTATAGGAAAAGTACTAGTGGGACATGTCATTTGTTATGTTCATCCTTAATATCCTGGCATTCTAAGAAACAGGCATGTGTTGCTATATCTACCACTGAAGCTGAATATATTGCAGCTGGTAGTTGTTGTGCTCAAATTCTGTGGATGAAACAACAGTTAGAAGATTATAGTATCTTTTTAAATGACATTCCGTTGATGTGTGATAATACGAGTGCAATAAATCTTACTAAGAATCCAGTAATGCACCATATGACTAAACATATAGAAATAAGACATCACTTTTTGGGAGATCATATCAGCAAAGGAAACTGTAAAATAGAGTATGTAGATACCAAACGTCAATTAGCAGATATTTTTACTAAGCCTCTACCCAAGGATAGATTCTATGATCTTATAAGAGACTTAGGGATATTAGAAATAGCTTAAATTCTGCTTAGTTTGACTATTTTTGGATGATTGTAATGTTATAATTCATTTTGTAGGATGTTCATAGGTTATCATGTGATAAAACACTCAAAACAGGGCATTCCTCTCTGGAATAATCGATTAATTGGAGTTATAATCGATTATTTGCATCCAGAACACTCAAAACAGGGCATTCCTCTCTGGAATAATCGATTAATTCGTCCATTAATCAATTAAAACCAGTATTAATCGATTAACAACCCAAAATAATCGATTAAATGGGTCTAGAAGTGATTTAATAGATTAATTTGAAATTTAATCGATTAAATCTGACCAGGTTGGCTTCCTAGCCGTTGCTAACGGATATTTTGACTATTATTCCCTTCCATATGAACGTTGGAGATGCTTGGTTATAAATAGGGACCTTCATTTCACTTCTACTCACTTCTATCTCTTGAAATCAAGCTTTCTTACCTTATTCTAGCTAAATTGTCCTCTTCTCACTACCCTTAACTTTCTAAATCTTCTTGCTATTCCTCTAATCTTTCAATGGCCTCATCTTCTCGTGCTAAGATCCCTACTAGAAGAAGATCTGCACCCTCATCTCGTCCTCGTCCTAATTCTGTAGAAGGATGAATTTCTGATACAGATGGCCAACAAGAATTTCTGACCTACTGGAAGGAACGTGCTATTATTTCTCCCAAGTTTCTTATTGGTGAGCAATTCATCAATAGGGGATTCAATTTTCCCAACCTTCTTGAAATTCAAGGAGTTCTTCCCTTCATCCAAATGCAAGGTACTTATTATCCTGACTTGGTTAGGGTATTTTACTCTAGATTTAAATTTAGAGATCAAATTGTTACTTCTAGAGTAAAGGGTGTCACCATTATTCTTGACGATGATATTTGGGAAAACGTCGCTCACTTTCCAATTAGAGAAGATGCTATTAACATTTATGGTGAGTTAGATGATTTTGACAGGTTTTTAGCTTACCGTTCTTTTCTGAGAAATCCCTCCATGGAGATTGGGCGTCTCCTTCATGCTGGACCTTTAAAGAAGGAAGAACGCATGATTCTACATCTAATTGTCTGGATCCTCTGTCCCCGGGCTACAAATCATGCTCAATGTTCTTCAATTGATCTTAGGATTATTCATGCCATAATGAATAATGAGCCCTTAGATTGGGGCGTTCTTGTCACCATGACCATGTTAAAAGTAAAACGTCATCCCACATTCAAAATTCCATATGCCTTACTTATCTCTCGTATTCTTGAATATAAAGGAGTGAATGTTGAAGGTGAACAAGCAGTTAGAACAAATAACTTGAACCGCATGCTGGACAACACATTGATTCAACTCCAAATGGTGCGAGTCAATGATATTTATGTTCACAAAGATGACGTTCATAATCAAGGTGATGCTAATGAAGATTCTGATGAAGATATGCCTCCTGCTGCTGAGTTTCCCTCTGATCAAATCCAAAGTGTTGGAACTTCCTCTACTCATCATGAAACTCGACAATCCATGGAAGACATGTTATCTGACATGAATCAGAGGATGCAGTCATTCTTCACTCTTTCTGGAGTACGACATGAGGAAATAATTCGCCGTATATCTGATGTAGATGATAAAGTGTGCCGCTTAGAAAATAGATTTGATGCACACTTTCATAGTGATGATAGTGAAGAATTTTAAAGTTGTTGTTTATTTCTTGTGATGTAATATTTTGACATTTCTGAAATAAAATGTGATGTTATTGCTTTGATTAAGGGGGAGTTTTCTCTAAATTATGCATATTTTGAGGGGGAGCTCTTATGATTGTTATTGCAGAGTTATTTTTTATTATAATCAAAATAGGGGGAGAAATAGTTAAAGCCTCTTATGAATTGCATTTAAATATTATCTGGTATGTTTAATGTGTTTGTTAGTATGACAGATAAAACAGGTTATTACAAGGTTTTAAAAGATAATTTTGATCATCATCAAAAAGGGGGAGATTGTTGAACATTCAAGGACTTGATGTTGCACTTGATGGACATGAAGATTGTTGATTTTGATGATGATTCAAGAACACAAAGACTTAGAGTGTTGAAGACTTGTTTTGTATTGTAATAACTCTGTTTCAATTAGATTGAGTCTGTAATATTAGAGTTTAAGATAGCCGGTACATAGTCTGCACCTTAGAAGCTTCAAAAAGCTCAAATTTATCATCCAGACTCGGCTTTAATCGATTAAATAGGGAAATAATCGATTAAAACAGTGAGAAAAATCATTTTCTGTAACAACTCACTGGTTTAATCGATTAAACCAACTTTTAATCGATTATCAGGCGGTTTAATCGATTAAAACCCCTTTTAATCGATTAAAACAGAGGTTTGGGTTCTGTTGATTCTTGGCTCTGTTTTAATCGATTAACACTTCATTTAATCGATTATTTCAGTCAGATTTTGATTTTTAACTTCAATTCAAACCTATTTTCGAAAACCCTATTTCCAAGAACCCTAATTTCGAAATCCCCAATTCCTAAACCCTAATTTCTCTACTTAAACTCTTCTATGACACTCAGAAAAAGAGAACAACCTTTTTCATACAAAAGTTAAGTGTTGTGAGTGCCAGAGAACTGTTTGTTGCAAGAAAAAAAGGCTTTCGAAACCTGGTGTGGGCTAGAAGCGATAAGAATCACTAAGTGGAGTTCTTAGTAGATTGTGTGTTGTGCCGTCTCTAGGGAAAGCTGTTCATCATCTCTTGTGGAGTTCAAGAGAGGTGTTTTCGTATCTTTATCTTTTCAATTGTAATCTGTTTGTAACAACTTGTTTATAGTGACAGCGTTAATCCTCTGTTTGAGTGATTAGCAACTGGACGTAGGGTCTTTTGATCCGAACCAGTATAAATCTCCTGTGTAAGACTCTATCCCTTTCTCTATTTACATTTACACAGTTTTTAATCGGTAAAATTTGGGAAAATTTTGAAAACCTAATTTTTATTAAGAAACCAATTCACCCCCCTCTTGGTTTTTGTCCGACCACGCAATCATTCCGCTGCGCGATTCTAACCGTTAGTCTATTGAGTGACTCATTCAAATATATGCACGTCTTCTGCTTTGCAACCACATACGATTGTAAGTGATTAAAATGTGACATGTAATCTTGCAATGAAGACACATCAACAATAAGCAAGTCATTAATACAAACAAATAAGCTACAATTCATAAAAAGTAAAATCTAAAAGAGTTACAAAATCTAACGGTAAAATTGTGCCACAAATAACACAATTCATAAAAATTCAATCCAATGTTCCTAAGCTTTCATAATTAAAGATAATATTACAATTTAACAAAATATTTAATTTGTATCTTCAATATCATTCACCATTCTCTTCTTCAATATAATCAAATCCAACCTACAATAAAATTATCTTTAAACTACAATAAAATTATCTTAGAAAAGTCTATGCAAACCAAATCTACCCAAGATCTTATATCTAACCACAAATATAAATCCACTCCCAAGAAAACCAAATATGTTCAGAAAATTGATAGTATTAATATGAAGCAAGTTACATTTACCAAAAATAGACTATAGCAAAAAAAACTAAAAACTTTTTTTAAAACAAAAAGGAGGGGTTTTCCACATCATATCACTCATAATTTATTTATGTATATCAAGCCTAATGCCCAATCTTGATAAAGGAGGAATACTGGACTTTGATCTACTAGAAGTCTCATTGGCACAATGACTAAAAGCTCAAAGAGAAGCCCAATTAGCATTGGGATAATGAAATCTGACAAAATATAGGGATTAATCACTTACAAGCAAATTCAGTTAGATGCAAAATCAAAGGGCCAGTTTCAGTAACATAACATAGAAGTGGAATCATCCTGACCCATATGGAAAGAAGTGCAGAACTCTTCACAAGAATGCCACACCATTTCCACACTTGGCCAAACAAAACAGCAGCTCTCCTTTTTCTTATTTGTTTAATTGAGTATCTAACTCTGACAACAACAGTCCAAATTACATAGCTTCCAATTATAAATGCACAGAGATATGTGAAAAGAAATAAGATTATAAACACATACAAAATTATAAAATTCAGTGATTGAAAGCTAGTTAAATCATTCACATACCATTACATTTAATGTCATGAGTTATGGGAAGACGAGGAATAGAATTAAAAAGTGTCCGTCCAAGTGAAATTGGTACAACTATAAAGTTTAAGATAAGCAGAGTCATCCCAAGCAATCACCAGTAAAAGAACAATGTGAAGCAAAGAGGCATAACTGCTATAGTTATAGCAAAATGTTTAATTAGACGGTGACATGGTAACTAACAATAGCTAAAACATGAATTTGCAAAGAAAATAATTACTACCATTTTCATGCACTGAGTTAACTAAATAAATAGGGAGAGTGCAATATATGATAATTCATAAATAATAGTTGTAGGATTTCAATTAGCAAGGAACTCACTCGGAGTCGGATTGCTCATCATTATCATAGTCCTCCCCAACATCAGTTCTCCCACTGTATTAATGATATTGTTCAAATCATCATCTTCAAATGGAACCAAACCCTGATCATGCACTCCAGCTTGTACTACTTGTAGCCTTTCCTGTTTATCTGACTCCCATTTTCTTGATTACCACTATCATTAGGTCTACAGAGTAAGAAATTAGTCAAACCAAGTGCTCAATTGGAGTTGTGCACTTGTAGGCTTCTAATCTACAGAAACAAAACAAGCCTCTATGTTTAGTGAGATATAGAGTGAGTTCAAATTCTTATTGCTAGTCTTAAACTCACTTTTTATTCACTTGCCTTCTCAAATTGTTCTAGTTTACTGATATGACTGATATTTAAATTGGTAGGATAAAACCTTTTTACATGTTCATTATGGATAGATTTTTAAACTCATTGTTGCTAATTAACAAGGATCACTTGGTGCTTTGTTTTTATTGAATATCATTAAAGGAGATGATTCTGCATTGTATCTAATCCCGTGGCTAGGACCATAAGTTAAACCTACTATCTCTACGTTTGAGGACTGGGTCCAATTGAAATGCAATCTGTCACCTGCTCAAATAATGTGATTTTATTTGGCATCATTAAGTAATTGTGAAATATAGAACTACAATAACACACACGGTAGGTAAGTGAATATTGCAATATAGTCATTACCATTGGTTATCATGGAGTTATATATCCCAACATATTTGGTGTTTTCTACATGGATTCCGTCGGTGTTGCGCTGAGTTTTGGTGAAGAAATGGAGCACTTATCAATCAGAACTCCTTGGCAGCCATCAAATTTCTTGTGAAACTGGGAACTATTTTGAATTTTAAGCCCATTCACCTTCAACTATGTCATCTACAAACAAAAAAGAGGGTAATTCCAAATTTATAAATACACTAATAGTTAGTATATTCATGAGCTGAATTCTCAAGAATAGTTTGGTTTAGTTTACTTACAGCAGGACCACCACATGGTCTTGACAAAGTTTTTCCATTGGGCCTCTGAAAGTGTCATCTTTTAAGTAGAAGCATTTAGTATATGTTTCCATTCAATTTTAAATAACTGCAACAACAAAAATGAAAGGAGAAAAAGAAAAAGGCATCAATACAATATGAAAAACAAACTACAAAAAACATGCTAAGTTGTTACAACCTCAAAATCTATACTGAAGAGGAGATAGAGAACATAGAATAAGAGGAAGCCACCCACCGCTCCAATAGAAACCAACAACTCAACAGCAGAAAAAGATCGCTTTTAGAAATCGAGAACCACAACATAATATCCAGTAGCTGTGACTCAGAACAGTCAAAGAATAACACTCATTTTCCACCGTCAACAAAAAAGCAAAACAAATTATTTCAAACAAAAAAAACTAAAATAAGTTCTTTAACACTCTCCCCAGTACCATCTAAAATCACAACCATCCATAGGAATAGAGGACAAGGAGACAAGAACAATTCAAATGACAGAACACAGAGGAACACGATTAACACTCGTCGCCGACGGGTGTGTGACGCAGGTCAATAACAATGCGAAGCAAAATAACGGATAGGCGAAACGAGGCAACGAAGGCACCACACAGCTCAACCACAGTCCGACAACCACAGTCAGGCAACAACGACGGCCGTAGAACTGTACAAATGATGAGTGTTGATTTCCTCCTTCGACGTTTGTTACTCGGCAACAAAAGACACCAATGAACTTATTCCCCGAGGGCTTCTTTCCCGTTTTTAAAATTTTGTGTAAAATATAAAATATAAAAATTTGTGTAAAATAAAATTTTAAGAATCAATATAAAATTAAAATATGGGTTCAATTCCAAATATTAGTAATCATATGTTCACATTTACAGTTGTCAAAATGATAATTTGGTGAACTTGACATGTTCTTATGGTTAAAAAAAATTGATCATTCTTATATTTTAAAAAAATATAAATAATTTGTAGTCTAATTTAATCTTATATTACATCAACTTTTATTTTTATTGAAAAATAATTTTTTTCATTAATATGTATATAACAAAATAATTATTAAAAAATATTTAAATAAAAAATAATTTAATATATAAATTATAAGATAATAAATTTATTTAATATTAAAATAAAAATTAAAACTTACTCTTTTTTATTATTAATTTTGTTTTAGTAATTAATTTATCTAAAATAATAATTAATCTTAACAATAAAATAAGTAGTTATTAGAGAATTACTCTTATATTTATTTTTAGTATAAGTTAATCATTTATCAAATTAATTGAGAATATATATTTACTTTTTAATAAAATAATATTATTTTTATTTAAAAAATAATTATTATACTATAAAATTGGTCAACTCAGTTTATAAATTAGTTGATCTTATTATTAGAATAAATCTAATTCAACTTAAGTTTCAATTTTTTTATTTAATTTAATTTATTTCTCAAACCTTAAAATCGATTTATCAAACTAAACTTATTTTCACACCTTCTCACATTAACTAAATTTTGTTATTGTCTTCAACTTTAAAATGTGTTCAACTTTAAAATGATATTAAGTAATGGTAAAAATTGTCTTTTATTTGTGAATATATGTAAGTGTTATATTTGCATGTGTTTTTCAATTAACTTAATGTTTACAGTAGAAAATGATTTATTATTGGATGTTCAATTAGTTGTTTTATATTCTTTTATTTAAGTGTTTTTCAATAAATCACTTTAATTATTATGTAGATTCTTTTTTAACTTTAATTTGCAAATAAGAACCTTTTTCAATTATAGAATCTTTATTATACTTAGACTACTTTATTATTATTAATCATTCAATAATCAATATAACTTGAATATCTATTAGTGATATTTCTTGTAAAACTTATACGTTTAATATAAAGTATAACATTTAAAGTAAATCCCAAGAAATATAAAAGTACAAGAAAAATAAATTAAAGGAAATTAAATATGTCATGGAAGTACATTATAAAAAGATAAATTTAATTCATTATCAAAGATAAAATAAAAATTTATAAAGAAACTCAATGAAAATGACGATTTAAATTATAAAGAACTCTATTAAAAATGTTTATTCTATACTCGTAGTGTTTATCATAATGTAAGTCTTGACACAATTTGACCATTACCCTTTTTACACTTACTTTCACCTTATTTACAATTTACCTAGAACCGCTAGAAAAAGAAAAATAAAACAAAACAAAATAAATAAAATAAAAAAAGGAGTTACTTTTTTTTTATAACAGACTCTCCTATTTTCTCGAGTCACCTATAGTACTTATAACATTCATATCATGTAATGGATTTGCAACTACCTTTGCATATCTCTCGCTTACATAAACTTCTTATCTCGATCATTCATCCTTCTTTACTCACGTAAAGATCTCTAGATGTTTTATTTGTTTCCATTATGTATCATTTATACAATTTTATTTCTTAATATCTCTAAGATTTCTATTTCTCTCTGTCTTTATATTTTGATGAATCTTTCTAGACATTCTTTTAATTCTTTTCTCGATTTGTCCTTAGTCTTCATTCATCTTACATCAACTTATTTATTAATTTATCATCAAATTGTGACTCTTTATTCGATTATATTATCTTTTCTTTTGTTAATTTTTCTAAGAACTCTTTTACCATTTATTTCTTATTTCTTAAATACTTTTTTATTAACTTTAATTTTTTAGTATATTTATCAATTCATTGTTTTTTTTTCAATTCTTTTCTATTATTCATTTAAAGCACCATCAACTCCCATACTTATATGTATCTTAATTTTTTTACCCTTTTAATTTCTACCATTTAACCTCAATTTCGTTCTTTTATTATCATTTTTCATTAACAACTTCAATATTATTTTCAACTCTTTCTTTCAATATTTATAAATTTGTTAGTAATTCTTACCAGTATTCTTGATTCAGTTTTTGTCAATTATAATTTCAATATTAGGATAAGAGAAGTTACACTCCAACCAAATAATTCATACCTTAATTTTTTTTCTTTCTACTACTACTACTACTATTATTATTATTATTATTATTATTATTATTATTATTATTATTATTATTATTATTATTATTATTATTTCTGCAACCAGAGTTGTTTGTGCGAGGCATGTCACGAAAAAAAAAAAAAAACCATTTTGAATTGTGTTTGATCCGACAACATTCATATTTACTCGTTTCTAAACAAGTCATAAAGACCCTTGATTGATGGTCATGACCAACGGATTAAAGACACAAGCGTATCTATGGGGATGACAAGTCCATGCTAAAGATGATATATATATATATATATATATATATATATATATATATATATATATATATATATATATATATATATATATATATATATATATATATATATATTCCCTGGTGGGAGGGAAACTTGGTGGCAACCACAAAAGTAATTTGCAGTAGGAAAAAATAATGCTTTTTTTCATCACATAAAAGGGAAGGTTCAACTTGTTTTATAGGTGGAAATAACTGGAGAGTGAAGATTTTAACAAGTCATAGAAACCCAAGCAAAGTTTAATTAAAAGATTTCTTGATTCGAGTGATTATAAAAAATGGCAAATAAATAATTAAAGTGGGTAATTGATTTTAAAAAAATAATGAATGATTATAAGAAGTACATAACAATTATTTTTTTATATAGTTGTTCAATTTCGTAATAAAAATGTTTTACATAAAGTGATTTATATTTAATTTTGGAAGTACATAACAATTATTTTAAACAATATTTTATTTTTAATTTTATTATTTGATAAAAACAAATCTCAATAGATAATAATAGTTTTGTAAAATTTATTACTAAAGAAAATAAATTTGGTAAATAACAATATTATTGTAAAAATTCAAGAAAATCAACTGAATTTTATTTTTATTGCTTTGTATGATTATATTATCAAACTACCGAAGACGGAAATTGTTTCTCTTAATAATTTACTAGAAAATTATAAAAAAAGAAAAAGTAATGATAGTGGTGTCACCTGTAATCATGTGTGAGAATGAGATGTTTGGCGGTGGATTTAAGGAACTTACACTCAATATTAAGACGTATAGCACGCAATTGAAGGTAAATTATTTAGTTACCCATAACTAAATAGATTTAATGGTTAAACTTGAAATTAAAATGGTATTAATAAATTTAAATAATTTTAAAGATATAAAGTAATTTTTGAAAAAAATATATAATATTATAATTTTATATTGTTAAAAATTTAAATAAAAATATATTTATAAATTCTTAATATTTACAATAAATATAAATTTTAAATAAAATTTATGTAACATATTTAAATTGAATTTTCATGATGTAATCAATATTTATTATAATAATAAATTTATGCGTAAAATAAATAACTAATATTTTAGGATAATTTTTATTTTTTTAGAAAATTAAAATTATTAATTTTTTAAATCAGTTTTTTATTCTTTTGGATTTTTAATTTTTCTATTTTAGAATAATAATAAATTCATTTCTAATAAATTTATGAGATATAAAGTGTATTAGTTGAGTTATACATGATTAATGACTTTCAAAATACTAACATATAAAAAAAAATCCACTTGAGAAGGTTTTTTACGATGGTCAAATAAGTAATAATATAACAGAATATAAAGAAAAAAGTTAAATTATATATGAAAAACAATACATTTTATTTATTATTATGTATATGATAATTAAGATGATAATATGGCACTCACGAGCTAACTTGTCAGCCTATCATAATATGACGGGTGGGTAATTTCAGTTCTTCTTTCGTTTTAGCCCGTCCCTGTTAATCTATCTGGCCAACCCACGTGAGCGGGATGGATTAGCTCGCGATCCGTTTTACTAATAACTATTTTTATTATGATACAATATAAAAAAACTCGGAAAGACAATATATAATATAATTTATTGAAAACACTGTCCTCTCTCAAAGACAAACCCCTTTCTCTCCTTTTTTCTCACTCTTCATCTTTTTCTTGCTCATCCTTTTTCATAAGATAAAAATCATATATATCTCATACATTTTTACTCTCATTTACATTTGTTACATATTTTTTTTACTATTACATACATGTATTTATTATTTTATAAATTTTATCATAATTTAATTGTTCTAAAATATAATTTATTAAAATAATATATCAATTTATATTATTATTTTAAAATATATATATTAAATGATTAACAACGATAATTTTATTATTAAATTAATTAAAAGATTTGATTTAAAATTAATAAAATAAAATAAAAAATATAATAGACTAATCTATTAACCCGTTCTTTAACGGGATGAATCGATACCTGTAGTCCATTGTAACTATAATAAGTAGCTGCTCCGACTTCATTTTTATCGGGTCAAAGGTGGGATCAACACAAATAGGACCACCTTACCTGGTTTTCATCCTAATCGTACTTTTATATTATTAAATAATAATATTTATTTTAATTTATATATATTAGTACTGAATATTTAATAATATTACATTTTATTTATTTTTTCCTAATTTTATATCAGGTGTACGTCAGACAAATCGAAATCGAGTCGGTAACAGAATTTATACACTACTAATTTTCACCGCATCAAACAAACAGGATAATAAATTACATTACATGAATGGGTTGAACTGATATTTTCCATGTGAGTGGAAACATTTTATAGTTTGAATTTTGGTGATACGTATATTATATTTTTATAATTATTACTTAGAATAACTACGTACAAAATCATTGTATCAATTAATTATGTTTATTGGCTCAAATTCATTAAAAATATATTTTTATTTATTTTATTATTAATTATCTTTATTTTATTATAATATTTTATATTAATTATTATTTTATGAACTATTAATTATTATATTTTTTATATTATATATCAGATCTCACTAAAAAGTAAACTTTATCTTATAATTCATTCTTTTATATATATATATATATATATATATATATATATATATATATATATATATATATAATTTTTTTGTTTAAAAGTTAATTTGAGCGTTAAAATATATTTTGCAAATGAACACCTACACTTTCATGAAAATTGTCTTTATAGTTTATTTAAAGATCAGTCAATCAACTTCATCTTTTTGTCTTACCGATCATCTTTAACTCAGTAATAATAGTTAAAAATTTGACATTTTATTTGATTATAATATTAATTAGTCTAATGAAATATAATATTAATTTTGATCTTTTATTATTTTTAATTTTATTGTTAATGATAAAATTACAAATGAAACAAATGGAATGAATCAAGAAATGAAAGAATTGTTAAAATACTATATTGATAATTGAACATATAGAGAGTTGAGGATCGATATTAAAAAAAAAAAGGGAATTGTAAGAAAAATATAAACTTAACATGATAAGTTGGAATGAATGGATCAAAAGTATATGTTGCAAATAATTAGGAAGTGTTATAAGGAACGTGACATTGAAAAAAATAGTTGAGGAATATATTGAAAAATAAAGTAACATAGTGTGATCAGTCTAATTAAAAGTTGAAGACATTGAGACTAATAATATAAATCGATAAAGATAGAAAATTGAGAGAAAGTAAAACAATTGACAAATATGTAAAGACAACTATTATTCCATTATGATATATATGTGTGAGTTGAAAGAACGAAGAGTAGTTACAATAAAATAACATATTTTTATTTACTTTATTTGATTATATTTTACTCTCATTTTAATTTATTTTAATAATTTTATTTTAACTGTTATATATAAGAAAGATACAAACAAAGTAAAATAAATGTAAAAAAAAGTGATGTTCAAATAAGAAGATTTCTATTCTAAAAAAATTATTATAAACAAAAAACAAACACATTTTTAACAAAGTTATTTGTAATTTACATTTTCATCTTAATTAACTTTTTCTACCAATTTCTATTTTATCTTTGAAATGAGTTAGATTTATTTTATTATCATTTACTTTTTTTATAATTTTATGTTTTCTGTAATTGTTTTTATTATTCTCGTATTTTATTTTAAATACTTTAAATTTATTGAAAATTAAAATTATGTGTCACGTATCTTTAATTGATATATATCGTGTTTTAATTATAAGGGATCGGTAGGAAACGAACCCACTAATATTTAAATGACTCACATACTCTAGAAATAAATTTGTTTAATTTACACTAAAAAATACATATAATAAATAATCATTCGGCCAAAGGGCGTGAGTAAATTATAAAATCATATATTAATGTGGCACATGTTAAGTTCGTGTCAATCTCAAGTCGGTTCCGGTCGAACATGACAGTGTTTGACTTTAACAGATAATATAGGTGAAAATTATAACGCCATGCATTATTTTCTATAAAATAAAATAATTTAAACTTATGCATTGTGCAAAAACTTTTATATTACCAAGGTATTCTCACTTTGGTCGTATAATTTATTCAAGGTATAAAATTGGTCTTTATAAATTTTTTTAATATTGAGCAATTTTGATATATTAAAATTAAGAGACTAAAATTAAATTTAATTAAAGTATAAAAAATAAAAAAAGTATGAAATTATTAAAATGTGTAAACATTTCGTTTGACATAAAATTTCTACGACGGAGCCGAATGGATTGGTGGTTACGTCTTCTTTTTCAACAAATACAGTCGGCACTTTCACAACCCAAGGAAAATGTTTTTTTCCTAATAAAAATGAGTTACTTGAATAATGGTATATGATTTGTAGTTGAGAAAATATCACCCCTCATAAAATAATTAGTACGAATTTTCATGGAAATTAAAGAAATGATCGTTTTATAGTCTTACATGCAGAACAATTGCCTCTATATATTACGCATTTCCTTCACACAAAGGCTATATGTTTAACTACCATAAAAACCTCCCGAGCTCTTCTCCATCTGAAACTTTTGGCTTCTTTGAGCTGTCTTCAACAGCACCACAAGTTTTGATGGCTGATGTTCTAAGGCCAAGACCAGCTTCATCTGTCCCTGTTTTCAGAGGTTCTAAAGTTGCCTTTAATATAGTCTATATCCAAGTGTTTAACATGGTAATAGAAACCAATCCTGTGCATGCCCTTGTTGCTTTCATCTTCTTTGTACTTCTTGGTTTTCTCCAAATCAGATATCCAGAAAATCCCACCCCATTTCAGCTTCATCCAAAGACCATGTGGCTTTCCATTGCTAGCTTTCTTCTTTATTGCTTAGCCTTCTTGGGTAGGCTCAAGTTTGGTATTAGGGTTCATCACTTTGACACCCTCGTGCACGTGTTTAGTTCGCTCTCGTTGATTTCCTTGGTTCTGCTCTTGCTACCTGACAAATGGGAATCATTAGGTTTCGTCTTGTACACATTGTGCTTCATTATTCATGTGATCACCATGTTCACAAGCCGTTTCAGAGAGATGTGGGTGAAACTTCAACAAATGAGGGGAGTGGCGCGTCCAGTTTTGCCAACCACTTCAATGGATTTGAATCAACTGAATTCATAGCTTGAAGATTGTACTTGTGTCTTTTTCTGATTCAGCTTCTGTTGTTGTATTATTTTTCTCAGTTCAAATGGTGACCGTTAAGAGTTATTATTCTTGTACACCAGAAGAGGAAACTATCTGCTATGCTGCATATGCTTCTATAGTTCATTACTCACTCCAAATATATTGTTATCTTCATTAGTGGATGAAATGTTTTATTTTGACTAGTTTACAATTATATTCTTCCACGTCTCCTTATATATATATATATATATATATATATATATATATATATATATATATATATATATATATATATATATATATATATATATATATATATATATATATATATATATATATTCTCTCAAATTTAGATATTTTTTCTTTTCATCTTCCAAATTAAAAATTATTCTTTTAATAGATGAATTCCCCAAAATATTCTTTTTCACCTTTTAGCATTAACAGTGTTACACTTGTTGCTAAATGATTAACAACAACATTCATATGAATAATGAAATGCATGCTTAAAACATTGATGTAAAAATTCATTTTTTAAAATATTTCTCGAAAATATTTGTTAAGTTTCTAACATTTGAATTAAATTTTATTTTATCCCAAATTTAAAAATTATTTTTAGTTCTAAAATATAAATTTGATATTTTAACCCTCAAATTTAAAATATTCTTTTAGTCATCCAAATTTTAAAATACTTTTTAAATATTTAAGTCTTCTAATATAAAGATAATATATTTTAATTAAAAAATTGATATAATTATTTTTTAATTAACATGTTTAAGTTGAGACTATTTTAATTATATTTGAAATATTTTTCATTCATTACAAGAAAATTACATATTAATTATAGTACATTATATATCTATACGGTAGTTAATTTTTCGTTAATACATTTTGCATCTTATTAACTATAAATTAGTTATGAAATAGTTCGTTGTCAAATTCAAGTAACTAATTATTTTTTCTATTTTGTAGCAAATTTTTTACTAATTTGTTGTTAAGTCCCTTTTTAATTTAAGTGATGAAGTGTTGTCTTCCATTAATTTGTAGTTGATCCCTTTTAATTTGTCTCTTGTTAACTCGTAGTTAAAATGACATTTCAAATATTTAAAATATAACTAAAATAATTTTTCAACTATAAATTACTATATCAACAACAAAATACTAGATCAACACAATTAAAGATACAAACAAAAGTTTTTTATTCTTGGAAGCATATCTTCATCCTCATTTTTTTAAATCAGATAATAAATCTTTATTAAAAGACTGCATTTGCATAAGTGTATGCATTTTTATTTATGTCTTCATTTGTGTTTGCATCCATGCTTGTATATTAATTTGTATTTGCAATTGTATTTTTATCTCGCTCTCGTAAATTAGATATTTATATAGTTAAGATAATTATTTCTTCAATAAGGATGAATATGAAACATTTAAAATAATGTCAAGATTCAAACTCTACCAATATCATAAATTCTACATTTTCTATGTTTCCCAACATCATAATCAATTATGGGATGTTTTAATGTATCTTCTTCGTATTTATTAGTCATAACAATTTTATATGATTTATAAATATACACACTTACAATGAATTTTTTTGCTTTGTTAGACATATATTCACCATCTTTTTTTTTCTTTTAACTTTGATATATAGTTCACCATAAAAAAAATGAGACATTTGTGCTCTTCATTTCAAGATTTATACAACAATATAAAATACAAACTAAATGAAATACATAACTTAATTGTTTAAATTTAAACATCACATTTATATTAATATAACATAAGGATTATCTAATATCAACATCAAACCTAATATTCAATTTATAATTACCACTCAATATTGATTAACAATTATATGATTTCAATCATATTATATTTACTTTACATATATTATAATAAGATCAAATGTGTAAACTACGATTGTCATTCTTTTTAAGTGTTGTCCAAAACTTTCTGAAACTGTATTGTGGCATTAGGCTTGACATCCCCCTGTTGGCCTTACCTGCAATAAACTTTTCTTTTCATTATTCTTTTGTCCATATGTCTACTAATTCATCCTATAGCTCAGTCTTTATACTTCTTGGTCCAAGATCTTTAAATCGTGAATATTATTTGGATTTCCCTTTTTCCTTATCTTAGCTCATAAGTTAGAATATTGATTCATGCATGTCATATTCCAAACTTTTCTTACCATATTCCTATCCTAAGTTGATATGAAACAATATTTATTATATACCAATATAAATTAAATAAATCTATTGCTTAATACAAATGTTAAAACAAAACTATTTCAATACTTTAACACAATAGTTACTAACTACAAAATTATTGAACAAATTTTCTTTCATATTAGTAGAATAATTTATCCAATTTGATTATAGATTAGGCATTCTCAAGATATAATATCTCCAATCACTAAATCAGGAACAAATCTCCTCTTACAATTTACAATAACATATATTTCAGCAATATAAAATTATTTATCTGTTAACCATATTTTATGACCTCTACCAAGAGGATGACACATATGTTTAAAAATATACAAAATTTTATTTTCACCACCACCATTATGTAAACTAGCACCACTCTCTCTACTCCGTATCAATAATAACACTAGTAAAGAATATAATAGTAAAATGAAATGCACAGTTATGAATGAAGATGCAGGGGAAGAATTTATTGCCTGATATTTGACACTATAGAAACATTTTAATGAGTCCTTCCACTCTCAAAGCGCTGCCTTTACCAACCATAACATTAAAGTTGTCAATTGGTTCAACTGAAAGTTTAAGATAGGAAGCAATTGGTTGTATAAAATTATCAGAACTCCCACTATCCAACATAATTTGTACTAGCAAGCCATGAATAACACCTTTAAATCTCATGTTGCAACTCCATCCGAACCTTTAAGGGCATTGAATGATAAATGTAGTTCTGGTTGAAGTTGAGACTTCATCGTGGTCTCTAATACACTCGCCTCCTAGTTTACCTCATCTGATAGTTTGTCGTCCTTTAAGTGCAACCAAAGATATTGTTTGTTAGGGAATCTGTGAGATGGTGAGCATTTTTTATCACAAGTGAAGCAGAGTCCTTTCTCTCTTCGTAATTGCACTTCCGCAGCAGGAGATAATTTCTTGACCATTGCCTTCGATGCTAAAGGAGTGGAGTATGGGTTTTTTAATAAGGGTGGTAATCTTGTGGTCTTAAGTGAGTGTGTCGTGGCATCTGGGGATGATTTTGTGTAAAAACTTTGGACCCAAAAAACTTCTGTTTGGTAACATATTTTTCTTCGAACAATTTTGTTAGTGATACACATCTCATCAACATTGTAGGTGCCTGGACCAAGACATAAACAGTCGAGTAGAGTCTATGTGGTAACCCCTTGAACACGATTGGTGAGGGCAGTGAGTTTAGCGTACTATTCTTGCACGGATCCTTCTTGTGTGAGTTTGAATAAATATGAGCGATGACATTCATAAGATGACCGTCCAAATTCCAATTCTAGCGCACGCATGAACGCAATCCAAGTTGAAAACGCATAATGTCGAGCTTGCATTTGAAACCATGTAACCACCTCTCTTTTTCCAAATGCATAGAGGCAATGAGCAAACGTTGTTCATCCGGTGTTTTATAATAATAAAAAAACTGCTCCGTCCTGAAAATCCATTGGAGCACGTCTGACCTATCAAACTTAGGAAAATCTAGTTTGACGTTTCTGACCTGGAATGACGGAGATGGAGAGGAAACCTACGACCCAATATCTATAGCGTGAATCGATTTCAAAATCGAATCCATCAAGGTTTCTAGTGTCTCAAAACGAGTAGAATCATTTCGTTGACGGTCATGAAGAGTGACAATAGAGTTCTTCAAGTCCTTATCCTTAACAACTACTATATTGGTTAATTGTTTAATATCCCCATCCATTCCTTCATGCGGGCCATCTCCCCTTGGAGTTCTTTCAATCTTGTATTCTCCGCCATGGAAGAGAATGAAAGCACCCATGTAAGCTAGTACCACTCTCTCTACACCGTATCAATAATAACACCAACAAAGCAAGTGGCGTAGACCATTATCTTAGTGACAAAATAATATATTATTAATAAATAATAAATATAAAATAATATATTATTAATAAATAATAAATAAATATAAAAGGAAGAAAGAAGATGAAAGGGTTAAAGGATAAAATTGTAGATATATATTTAAATATATTAAATTATCATTAAGTTTGAGGAAGACAAAGTCATAAATTACATGAGAGTTACAAAATTGAGGAGGGACTGAGAGGATAAAATTGTAAATATACAAATAAATATATTAAATGTTTATTAAGTTTAGGGGGGTCAAAATCATAAATTAGATGAGAGTTATAAAACTTTGGAGGGGTCATGACCCCCTCAGCTCCCAAGAAGATCAGCTAATAGGAAAAATGGAATGCACAGTTATGAACCAAAATGCAGGGGGAGAATTTATTGCCGGATATTTCTTATGAATCTCCATCAACAAAAAAGAAAATAGAGAATGTGAAAAAAAAATGCAAAATAAGAGAATGATTCTAATAATTCCCCCCTATTCTCTACTCTAACGACTTCCCTTATATACCCTTGCTATCTTGTCACAATCTTTCAACCAAAAACTTCTTTTCTTTGATTATACCACTCTTCTATTTTCATTGTTCTCCTCCTTGCTATCCTTTTAGCAATGGATTGCCTTTAACGGTCTCCAACTCATCTGCTCTTGCACCCTCATTACACATTATCATTATAAAAACTTGAGTACATCTTGTTTAAAAATAGGGATCAAAATACATAAAAATAAAATTAAAAATTTCTTTCAAAATATACGTTTTCAAATTTGACCTTATTTTGAACCTCTCTTAATAAGAAATATATTGTCTATATTGTCCAGGTTGTCCTCATTACACATGTTTTCAAAGGTTGTCCAGGTTGTCTATATTGTCTATATTGTCCAGGGATCAAAATATACGTTTTCAAAATAAATTTGACCTCATTACACATGTATCTTTGAAATAGATACATTTATCTATATTGTCCAGGTTGTCCAACCTTCCTTTTATATGAGAAATATATAATCAAATATTTCATTAAATCTGGTGTTTTTTTTTTCAAACATACAAATTGTTTAAATAATAAAAAATCCTACATTGTTCATTATAGAAACATGCAATGCAGTCACGCAAATCTATTTGCAAAATACTTAGTGTCAATTACATAAGACCAAGAAATTAAGTGAAGCAGGCTAGTTCTAGAGATAGATGATATCAGAGTCACAGTGACTCATCACTGCATTGGTTTGCCAGTTGCCATGATAAACCTACATTATACATTTTCACTATTAAGCATATTGTTATTTATTACTCTAGTTCACTATTGTTATTTATTAAGAGAATGACTCTAGTATTTCACTATTGTTATTTATTATTCTAAGGTCTAAAGCGGTCGTAGATACTTAATTATTATGGTTCTTTAAAAGCAAAAGTCAATAACCGTAAAAACTCATATGGTCATCTGAATAGTGCGAGGAAAAGACTTTTCACCTACTCAAATGCTCCACGTGATCAAGAAAAGTCCTCGTCCACTTTTATCCACTAACGCAACTCAGTCGACAATAGTTTCGTGGTAGCCACAAGATACAGAGATAGAAATGTCTGAAAGCAAAGGACACTATAAATAAACCTAAAAGCAAGAATGAACCAGTGACCGACTTTCTTGGAATTCAGCCTTGTAATTAGAGTATAATTAATATTTTTTTAATTTAATTTTCATTTAATATATTTATTTTTTATTTTATTTTATAATTTTTATATAATTTTAATCTTCATTACATAATAATAATTTAATATATTTATTTATATATTTATAACTTTTATTTTTTATATTTATTTATTATTTATTAATAATATATTATTTAATCTCAAAATTCAATAAGAAGGTCCGGTATCGGACATCAGCTAAACTAAATATGTTGCTAATATACCAACCCTAATACTCCGGACAGAGCGAAGATTGAAAGAAAAACTCATCTTTAGAGACAAAAGATGAAGGTACGTAAAGCAGTAAATTCTTAATCCCATCTTTAGGGCCGGAAGAGCAGTGACGGCAGTAGCGTCCAACAGAGGCGTAGCAGTGGCAGCAGCTAAAGTAGGCATAGTTGTGGTAAATGCAGGGTGCCCCAACGTTTAAGTTTTCAATTTGAGGATGAAAAAGTAATTGAAGCTGAAAACATATTATGAGAAACGGATAAGAAGAATAAATCTATATTTTTACTAAAAGAGTTATAAAACGTCCATAATTAAAAAAAAAATAAACTAAAGAAGTTTATAATAAATATTAAAATATGATAATTAATTTCATTTTGTTTCTTAAAAATATAATTTGTAAGAAAATTTATAAAAGATATTATTTATTAAAATGTCTGCCATTTATTTCAGTATTGTTAAATATTTCTTGAAAATTTATATTTATAAAAAATTGTTACAAAATCATTTTAATTTTTTATTAATTTTCTTGCAAATTTATATTTTTAAAAATATATATTTAATTAATATATTTACAGTAAATTTGAAAAATTTTGCAAATAATTTTTTTTAAAATTTGTCATTATTTCTTATGGATATTAAAAGGAAAACATAATTATTTTTTAGTAATAATTATATGTAAAAAACTTTACAAGTATTATTTGCATATAATATTTTTGTAAAAAAAATTATAAAAAATAAATAACTTTTTAAGTAGATAGTTGACTTATATATGTGAAGGATATACGAAGAAATCTATAATAAATTTAGAAGAACTATTAAGAGAATATTCTCTTACACTCTTTATTCTTTTAATTTGATATTTATAACAAACTTGCAATGAATTTGGTACAACTTAATAATAATATATTATGTAATTTAATTAGAAAATAGTTTGAAAAAAATAATATAACTAAAATTAAAATTTTATTTTTCAATTATTCTATTATTCATAATGAAGGGTTAATGATAAAAAAAAATTTAGCTAAATTTTTTTAATGAGAGGATAGCTAAAAAAATTAGTCTTTTAACTATGTTACTACAAGTTAATTATAACTTTATTTATTCCTTATTCAATCATCAATTAATTAAAAATTAATAAAAAATAAATTATATAACAAATTTTGCTGTTAAATAGTGATTATTCCCCTCTCTTTAGTAGTGGTACTGCTGTATTACCATCAATGAGAGACTACACAATTGAAGGAAAAAATTTCATTTTAAATTTCATATTTGCTTAAGTGAATTAAAAGCAGAAAGTTGGTAAGATAAGTTTTTTAAAAAATTAAGCAAGGACTAGACTAATTATATCAAACTTAAATAAAACATCTCATCTTCAAACAAAAAAAAACGACAAAGATCACGTTGTTGCAAAGTTTAATCACACAATATATACATGGTATGTAAGTCTATTTTACCAGTTAAAAAAAAAAAAAAAACTTAACCTAAACCATTCATTATATACACACACGTTACACGTAAGGAATATTTTATCCTGCGTTTCACGTTTGAGTTATTTAAAAATTATTTAAAATTAAAAAAAAATATTTTTATAAATAATTTTAATCAAATTTTAAATCATTTATCTATACTATTTATAATAAAATATTCAATTTTATTTATAAACAATTTTTATTAAAAACACCCGGGATACTTTAAAAATAATTTGACATTTATTTTTATTTATACTCCATAAAACATTGGCACAACTGCATTGAGTTTCTTTTTTTTTTCTACCAACCAATTCCTCATTCCCAAATTATCTCTACAAATTAATCATAGACACCACTATATTAATCATCTTTAATTACAAATTAATTATTATAATTATATTTTGTAACATCTCAATTAATATTATCTTATCCTAAAAACATTATCTTATCTCTTTAAGAGATAATGATTAAAGTAATAAATAAAAAATAATAATAAAATCCTATCCTATCTCTTGCATTAAATGCAAGTAAAAAAAATAATAATAATAAATATTTATTTATGATTATAAATAAGGGTTACTGGGAAGGAGAAATGAAGAAGAAGAAGAAAAAAAAGACAGAGAGAAGAAGAGAGGGAGAGGAAGGAGAGAGAGGAAGAGAAAGAAAAAAGAGAGAAAAAGGAAGGGAGAAGAAGAAAAGGAGAGAAAGATAAGTCATCTCTGCAAAATTTTGGTACATCATCTTTACTTCTTAAGGTAGGGGAGGAGAATATTATCATTAAATCTATTTTATTTTGCTTATAATTGTAGAGTGAGATGTCTCTAACCTCATTCTATTTATTTAGTTATTTGTTTATTTATCTCTAATAACGTAATGATCCTATTTTAATTATTTTCAGTTATGTACTAGTCATCTTTATTTATTTATTTTATCTCCAATTTTGTATTGGTCCTATTTTAGTTATCTCCAGTTATGTACTGGTCCTCTTTATTTATTTATTTTATCTCTCCAGTCTTGTACTTGTCCTATTTTAATTATCTCCAGTTATGTATCTGGTCCTGTTTGTTTACTTTATTTTATCTCTAATAATGCAGCTGATCCTATTTATTAATTTATATAGTTATATTATTCAATTATAATAATATTTATTTGTGAAGATTTGATGATATTGTAGATGGATGTTGGACCTTGGGGATTTAAATGAGTAAATATCCTTGTGAGAGTGATTAAAATTGAGCTCATTTATCATGACTAGTCACTACAAATTTAATTTAAATCTTCAAAAAATAGAATGTGTTGAGGAAGTTGAAACATATATATATATATATATATATATATATATATATATATATATATATATCTATATATTATAAGATTGTATTATTGTAAATGATAAATGTTCTCACTCCCTATTGTGATCTTTTGTGCATGTTTTATTTAAACACCAATTTAAGTAGATGGAGGCGCCAAATATTCCAAATCCCTTTTACGCAAGCATCATTGCCTTCTTTCCAGGAACTACTTGGAACACGAATGTTATAGACAACTCGGTTACTTTTATAGGGACAGGATTTTCAATAATAACATTTGTATCCGATGTGGAAAATCCCATTATGTTAGATGTGCCAGGTAGTGGTTACCTTTTGTATGCCTCTTACCTTTTTCCAAAACCCCTTAATCAGTTTGTTTCCACCGGCAATGTAGATACTTGTAAAATTGTAGAAAAAAAATAGAAGGAATCAAAAATAAAATTCCTTCTTCTTTTGTATATCTTATATATATATATATATATATATATATATATATATATATATATATATATATATATATATATATATATATATATATATAGTGATGTAAATTACTTTTACATATATGTATATTTTTTATCTGCTACTCTTATACAAATAATAATAATAAGAAAAAAAATGTCACATTAAATGGTATCGAGCAACATTTCATGTGTGACCTGTGAAATGAGTATATTCCGATATCTTATGAATCCTAACTTATATAATTCCAGATGGAAAATAATAGAAGGAACAACGAGTTGACAGAAGCGGTACAAGCTATCTGAGACATGGACGTTGCATTATTAAGGAACCAAAGACCTAAAGGAACTAATGGATCACAAGGTTTAGTTGAATTTAGGAGAGACATACCTCCGCAATTTTCTGGAGGTTATAACCCAGAAAAGGCTGAATTATGGATTAAAGAATTGGAAAAAATATTTCAAGTTATGAATTGTTTTGATGACCAAAAGGTGAATTATGCCGTGTTTATGTTGATAGGAGAGGCTGAATATTGGTGGGATACTACTAGAAGATTACTAGAAGGAGGAAGAATAATCATTACTTGGGAAGTGTTTAGAACAAAATTTTTAGAAAAATATTTTCCCAATGATGTGAGAAGAGCGAAAGAAATAGAGTTTATGCAATTAAAACAAGGAAGTATGACAGTAGGAGAATATGCCTCTAAATTTGAAGAGATAGGAAAATACTTTGCATTCTTTTATCACCCTGATGAAAGAATGAAGTGTATAAAATTTGAAAATGGACTTAGGCCCGAATTGAGAAAAGCGGTAGGAATACTAGAAATTTCTGACTTTCCTACGCTTATTCATAAATGCAGATTTTTGGAAGATTTTGAAAATCATCAAAATAGTAAACCAAAATCTTTTGGACCCCAGCATAATAAAAGGAGACAAAATGAAGAAAAACCTTACAACCGCCCCCACTGGAGATCCCAACCCAATCAATTTTCTGCAGGAAATTTTAATAACCGTATAAATAATCATCTCAAGTGTTTTAAGTGTGGACAAGATCATTATGCTAAAGATTGTCATCTTAAAGGACCTGTCTGTTTCAAGTGTGGGAAACTGAAACACTTGGTGGATTTGATGAAGACATAGATATAACTTAGGTTGTGGGTGTGTAGATGATTAGGTTTTTAAGTTTAAGCACTTAATCTCTTGATAGGCCATTATATTTTGTGATAAGCACCTTAAAATATTGCATATCATTGAAAATCATTTTTCTGCATGAAAAACTAACATCAAAGTATTAAAAGAACAAACTAAGTTTTTCAATCTGTTGAAAAGGATTTTCAATATGTTAAAATCACTTAAAAGAATAAGTGGTCATACATAGTCGTATTTTCAATTGATTGATTCGCGGAATCAACAAGTTAAAATAACTCAATGAATTTTTCAATATCAAAGTTTCGCATTTTCAATCTGTTGAAATGATTTTTTAATCTGTTGAAACAGAAAGACTATTTTTTCAGTCTAAGAGTTTTTCAGAAAATCAATCTGTTGAAATAATTTTTAATCTGTTAAAACAGAGAGGCTATTTTTTTAACTAAGTGTTTTCAGGATTTCAATCTGTTAAAATGATTTTTAATCGATTTAAACAGAGAACTGTCATTTTTCATAAAGCTGTTTTAATCCATTAAAAACTCGAATCAATCGATTGAATGGAGCTTTAAATGAAATCAATCGATTGAATCGATGTTTTAATCGATTGAAATAATATTCGATCGATCATAGTTTCATTCGATCGATCATAACTTCGATACGATCGATCATAGTTTTATTCGATCGATCATAACTTCGATCCGATCGATCATAGTTTCATTCTAATCGATCATAACTCGGTCTGATCGATCATACTTAAGTTCTAATCGATCAGAGTCTCTTCT